GTTAGAGGCCTCAGAGTCCCAGCTGGCACACAGGTACTTACAGAACTTTTGTGCAATAGCTTTCACAGAATCACAGAATGGTTAAGGTTGGAAGGGAACAGATCACCTAGTCCAACCCCCCTGCTCCAGCAGGGACACCTAGAGCACTGGGCACAGGGTGGCATCCAGGCGGGTTTTGAAGATCTCCAGAGAAGCAGACTCCACAACCTCTCTGGGCAGCCTGTTCCAGGGCTCTGTCACCCTCACAGTAAAGTTCTTCCTCACATGGAGATAGAACTTCATGTGTTTCAGCTTGTTCCCATTACACCTTGTCCCGTCACTGGCCACCACAGAGAAGAATTTGGCCCCGTCGTCCCCACATTCATCCCTAAGGTACTTGTCCATATTGATCAGATCTCCTCTCAGTGTTCTCTTCTCTCGACTAAACAGGCCCAGCTCGCTTAGTCTTTCCTCATAAGATAGATGCTCCAGTCCCTTAATCATCTTTGTTGCCCTGTGCTTCATCCTCTCTAGAAGCTCCACGTCCTATTTGATTTGCCCAAGAAAAAAGATGTGGCCATGGGAAGACTAAAAACCTCTTACTGGTTATGTAGTTTCCATGATGCTCATGTCAGGATCTGGCAAGGGCAGCAAGAGGTGATAAGTATCACTCTTTTAGCAAATCCTGGCTGACAGGGACTGGTAAAGGGAGAAAGTCCCTAATAATCACATTTTGTTCTGAACAAAGGAGGTATTACAAGTCTGCACATGCCTATCCTAGCCAGCTCTTTACCTTGTTGTCAGGATGCCTCATGCATCTCAGTGGCTCCTGGGGTTGGTGTCAGGGCCCATGGGGCAGAGATGGGCCTGTCCCCCTCCATGAGGACAGCAGGGTGCCTCCAGCATCAGACATTACAGCAGGGATGGGATGGGGGGGCCTATGGTCAGGCCATGGGATGGCTGATGCAGAGGGAAAAAGGCAAACAGGCTTCACCTAAAGAAAAAAAAGTTAATATAATTTTTCCTACACTCTGCTTAATTCTGTTATCAGAAGTTCTAGCCCAGCTACACCACAGCCCCGGCAAGTACCATTCATCCTGGGCTCCCCAACTGTTCTCAGGTGCTTTGCCCACTAGGATAAAATGCACTAAAATAACCCCATCTGTAGCTTGTCAGTGGCTGACTATATATCAAATAAAGATATATTCATTGTATTCCACCCACAGATGATTAATGCTCTGCTAATATCAACTGTTTCTGATTCATAGGGCATGCAGCATAAAAGCAACACAGGCACCTCATTTAGCACTCAGCACCACTTTGAGGACCAGACCTCCAGTAAAGTGTGTTGCAACTTATCACAGCTTTAGCTCTTTAGGCATCTACCACAAAACACTTCCAAATATTCCTGAGAAGGACCAATTTCCTTTGGACATATGGAAGACAAATTCTAATCTAAAAGACAAAAAATCCAGTGCAGGAAAATTAGCAGATAGGCATTAGGAACATACACCTGTGTGTGCATGTTTCTATACACATATGCATCCAGTTTTAACAAGAGGAAGGTTTTATTTCACCAAACTTTAGACATCTATAGCAGAGCTATTTATATCTGGCCTAACCACCCCAGTCTCCCTTCACAGTCAACAGATAAGACAGGCGTCTTTATGACATGACTCATCTGACCTGATTTTAGGTATCTAACTAAAAAGAACAAAAAAATCACATCCCTAACAGGTTGTTTCTCTCCTTCACTGATTAAAGGGTAGGCAAAGATGATTAGCTTGGATGGAGATAGACACTTTTAAGTGAAGCTCACTCCTAAAAGCCAAGATCGCTGTACCCAAAGCTCTCCACATTAGGAATGTTCATATCTATCCCAAAAAGCTTTTGCCATATCTGTATGCAGAAGTTAAAAGCATTGGGGGAGCCAGTTGAAGGACCTCTTTATAGCCAGATTGACTCCTCTTGCTACAGGCTTGTTAAATCTGGTTGCATTTTAGATGCAGAAGCATCATTTTTGCTGTCTTTATCCACATACTCCACAAGGAGAGCTGGGTCAGCTCTGCTGCACATATTTGAAGCACAGTACACACAGAAGCTTCTTTCTCTATGATCTCCTGATGAGCAGGAAACATGACGGACATCTTCCTCCAAATAAAAAAAAACTGAATCCACAGAATTGGAGCTATCAGAAATGGCACTAATGGAGCTGTTTTTTGAAATCCAGCCCTGAATGCAGGCTCGTGAGCACATTAGAGCAACAGTGATTCCAAAATGAATCTGACTGGAACAACGTCCTAATACCACCTCCAGCTTATCACTCACTTTGAAACATCATCAGTGAAAACATTGGTACTGATCTCCTACTTGACTTGCTGCATAAAGTGACTTTGCATGAGCAGGTATCTAGCATGTGCATCTAATAATCACAACATATTTTGCACTGAACTGTTAAGAGATACCTACCTCCCACATAACAGTTGAAGTAAAAGGACTCGAGCATTTAACGCAAGATGCTCCCTAGGACTTGGAAAAAGAAAACAGCACCTGCAATAATTATGCAAAGGTCTGTTGATAAATATTTGGCTTTTGAACTCTACCCTTTCTTCCATACTGTCAAGGAGATACTGGATTTCCACTTTATGAGGCATCATGAAGATAAATATTTAAATAGACACTGTATCTATATACTTTTCTTTTTATATTTGGTCAAATATTTCATTCTACTTTACAGTTGCAATGACTATTTATAGAGAAGCCCAGAATGCTGGCTGCTAATTGTCCAGAAGTTGTATCATGCCTCAGCTGTCAGGCTGGGGTAAATGTATTCTATACACACTCCACATATTGTCAAAACAGGGAAAAAAATAGAAATGCTGGGATGCTGTACTGAGTTGTTTGCGTCACTAAAAAGGCTCATTATATTCATTTTGGATAATACCTCTTCTCGTTGACATTAAAAATAAACAGAAGCAATTTTTCTGTGCACTGGAGAAACTACATTACTGAGAAAGCCGTCCTTTGAGAATCAGTACAGTCCTTGTACCTCTGGCTATCCTGACAGATGCAGTTCAGGTGTTTCTTCACCTTCACCAGTTATAATTTATGGCTCTAGGCAATGATCCATCAAACCAGACATTACTTGAAGCTTACAGTAGCAAAGGCAAGCAGGCATTTCCTGCCACCAATGAACAAGAAAATTATCATCACCTAATATAAATTATCACAGTAAAAAAGGAGAGTTTATTTAAGACAGAAATATATGTATATTGCAGAAAACATTAAAAAGCCCAGCTTTTTGAGAAACCTGTTAGAGTCTCCTGTGATACAAGCACAGAAAAAAACTTCTAAATCATTGCAAGTAGAGTCTCAACTCTACTGAAACCTACAATGAAGCTTCTACCAGTTTCAGCAAGCAGAAGATATCATCTGGATTCAGTCCATTGCTGAACCACCACCATGCCTGCTAGTGAGTGACAGCTGACATATCCTTTCTGTCCCTTAATGCTCAACTGCAAAAATGAAAACTTCAGGAGTCACCCTCCCCATCAGAAAAAGAGAATACCACAAGTCTTGAATGCCTATAAAGCACACAATCGTTTTGAAAAAGGAGGTACTAGAGAAATGGGGCAGCAAGTGAATTCTGAGCTCAAAAACAAGCAAACAAACAAACAAACCAACACAAAATAACTTAATCCAGCAATATATCATGGTGAAAAATGTGGCAGAAAAATGCTAGACAGTAACATCACATTCAGGTCCTGTAATGAAAAGTTAGTATTAAGGATGGAAAGTCACAAAATCTTCACCACTTGCTGAGGGTGCAGAAGGCACAAGCAACGTTTCTGAGTAATTACTATTCTTGGAAATGTGACCAGCAAGCAAAAATTAGGGTATTAAAAAACAGAAGCTAGGGATAATCAAATATACAACCCCCTCCCAGCCTATTAATATGAATCTTCAATTGGAGGAAAGAAGTAGAGACTCATAAGGCCCAACCCAGTTGTTTATTTCAATCATTTTACTATAAACTTTAAGCAGGAAAACGCAATGCAGCAGGATTCACCACTTTTTTCCTTGGACTCCATTCATTTGACACAGGCTGTACTTGATCTGGGGAGCTCAGCAACACCCTAGAGTGTAGGGTTCTAACAATTTCTTAGAGGTGAAATTACTGTTCCAACTCAAGCTCCACATCTTGCTCCTGAACAACTCTGCTCAGCCCCTGGCAACCTGTGATGGATATTCATAAAATGGGTTATTTGCAGACAGATACTTGTCATTATACTTTTTCCCCCCTTCTAATTTTCTTTTTTTTCTTTTTTTTTTTTTGTAGTAATATAAGAAAGTGATCTTCAGATTTCTTTCCTTCATTTGAAGGCAAGTTTCTAATTTTCAGTTTTGCAAATCCTGAGCCTAAGACTCAAAATCAACAGACAAATCCAGAAGCAAACAATTTCCCCCTTCATATAAACTGATTAAAAATCTCATGATTTTGAAGACCTCACTCACTGTGCCAATGTATGTGCAGTTGGCAGTACTGTGGACCATTCCCTGAACTTGTACCTCTAGCGCCCGTGCAGGTGACTGCCTTCATGACCACATGCCAAATCTTCCTACTGACTGCTACATACCTGGCAGAAGCGAAAGGATGGAGCCATAAATAGCTGAGGAAAGAAAAAGTTTCAGTCGACACAAGGAGAAACCAGAGGGAGAACCAGAGGCAGAGGCAGAACCCTGTCTTCTTCCCATTCTTCCTCTGCTTATGCACCAGAGTTATAGACAGTGGGAGCAATTTCCATACCCCACATTCAAGCTCATTTTCAGAAAAAAACCAAACCAAACAAAAAACTAACAACCTAATTCCCACCCTTCTCCCAGGAATCCAGTAAGTTAGGCTCAGTTTCTTTCCATCCTCTGTTTTCGAAGCATTTGTGCTTTCACTAAGTTTTTGGCAGGGTCGGTCAGCCCGTGCAGGGTAGGAAGATCAGGGAGGCTGCCACACAAGCTGCCGCCGGTTACCCCAGGCAGCTGTCCGGGTTCAGCTCCTCTATTTTCACTCCAGCACACTTCATAGCTGCTAGCGTGCAAAGGCTGACTGCCTTCCTCCTCCCGCTCGACACCATCTGAATGCAGTGAGTCTGGCTGTCATCTCTGGGGCACTGGTAAGGCAGCAGGCAGGAGCACTGGGTCTCTGTCAAAGAACATGTTGGCATTTTAGCTGTAAATCTCATGACTAAACATGTTTGTTTATAGTTTGACAACATTTCAAAATCAGCAGGGAAAAAAACCATTGCAGGTTTATGAAACATCAGCTTGAGAGTCTGTTGTGCACATAAAGATATCAGGCTACTGGAAACAGAAACAAAAAGTTTAAATTTCCATTTTTACAGCTCTGGCCCATACAGCAGCAAAAATGAAATTTCTAACAGTTTTTATCCAATGGTTTTCCCTGACCTTTCTTCTAAACAAAAAGTTATTAACATGACTTTCTGTTCTCAACTACCCTTATACACAAAGCTGTTGCGAAATGCAGTCTTAAGGTCAGTATTGTGTCAGGTTCTATTTCATTAAACCTCCTTTTAAGAATGCAAAACCATTTGCTGTTGGCCTTGCTAAAGCTCGATAGCGCCTGTTATTTCATTATCCATTTCTTATCTATCAGATTCTGACTTTTTAGATACTCACTCAGAAATTTCCTAGGCAGAAAAAAAAGTTTCTGAGTTCCTTTTCTTAAAACATGTGAAAACTGTGTTTTTTTATCGGTTTAGCTTCTTTCACATGGTACTGCAGTATATTCTGCCTCAGTTAACAGCAGCTACTCATGCTCAGGAATGCAACAACTTCTGCATGATGAATGTTTGTGCTTGCTTGTGGGAAAGAGGACTTTTGTGAAAGTGAGGAAGAAAGTTCAGTTCAAACCTCCTGAGTACCACAATGAAATCTTATTTTATTTAAGTATACTCTTATTTGAGTTCCCACTTTTGCTTGCTAAACAGGACTCCTGCTAGCCTTTTGGAGAACAGTAGCTGGCACAGCTTCACGCCACCTCCACAGTGGGAACATACCTACACTGTTTTAGGGTTCTGCAGTAAATAAGCCCACATTCTCTCTAAATTGTAATTGCTTTCTGAAGGCTCCTGCACCACTGCATTGCCCAAGGTGCAAACTTGACCCTGGCCTCCTCTTGAGCTCCTCAGAGAAGCAAGACTTCATGTAGCATCTTTATAGCCAATTACCTCAAACCCTATACTGTGCAAATCATCTTGAATCTGCAAAATCAAGTTTTACAGTTGCTGCACATCATTATTGACTTTTTGTCATAAATAGACAAGATATGATAAGGATCTTCTTTGTCTCTGGAAGCAAGTAGAGGAATGAGTACACCTGTCACTCAGCCTTTTCCTGGCACACGTTATGGGTGCCAAGCCAGCACCTCACACGCTTACAGAAAAATCCACTGCTCTTATCAGCCATTTACACAGTAAATAGCCAAGTTGTGCAACAGTGTTTATAATATAATCCTCTTAGGGATTTCACCATACAGTTTAGTTCATTAAAACTCTTAATGAACGCAGTTTTCACATATGGGTATTTGCAAGATTTACCATTAAATCCCATTAAGCTTGATGGCCTCTGTCTTGCTTTCTAAGTAGTACCACGATTTAATTTCATAATTTAATTATATGCTATTGGGGGTGTGAGCCAGATTAACTCCTGAAGTAGCAGTTATAGTATTCTCACAAGGAATGGGACATGACATTTTGGAGTGGGTTTCTGTGGTTGAAAATTTAAATACTAGTTCTCCTAAAATCACAAGTTCCCTTAATCTTCAATGGCAGCACTTCTGCCAAGGGGAAGGCATGTATGAGTGTGCAAAACACGGTAGGAGGGATAAAGGAATGGCCACACTTCCATATTCTTCTCAAGGGCTCAGAGAATGCAGACCACACTGTCTGTACATCTCATTCTTAGAGCAATGAAACAACCAGATTGCTTTATTTTCACCGCCTATATGCTGGATAAATCGCACCATTCAGAAGTCATACCTGCACACTCTTCCCAATCATAGCAGGTGTCATAGCCACATGGTACTTTCTTCAGGCTATTTGTAGAGAGCTTTGCCCTTTCAATAGCCCAGTCTTGGCTGGCATCATTACGGCAGGGGCCAATGTACAAGAAATGAAATGACTGCTCTTGGAGGCAATTTTCAGCGAAATACTCGCAGCTGGGTTTTGTCATGGTCTGTTCTGAAGCAGCATGCAGCACACAGAGGTCTTCTGAGTAGTGGCTGCCGCAGAGAAAAGAAAGTTATGTTGGTAGACTACGGAACAAGTCCATGCTTTTAAACACTCTGTTGTTGTAGGATGAAGAGCTACAGGGAAACCATGTGTGTATTAAGGACTGAGGTGGTCTCAACTACTACAGCATCTGGACTTTGGGAAACCCCAATACCTCAGCCTAGTCCCTTTTAGACAAGGAAGCTTTATTCCCGTTCAACACATCAGAAGTGAAGGGTATGTCTACACGACAAAATGGAAGGAGAGCTCCATGCATGCTATTACCTTCACACTAAAATAAATAAATAAATAAATAATAAATAAATAAATAAATAAATAATAAATAAAAGGCACAGTTAAGTAGCACAGGCACTGGGGGTAATTTGGCTGAATTAATGTAGCACTGATGCCATGGATGCAAGTTTGCAGCTGAGGTATAATTAGTCTGGGACCAGTGGCAGGCAAACACAGCTATGCTGCTTATAGACCTGTTCCATATTGCTCATGATTCCTAAGTGGATTCATTCCCTTCCTGTACAGACATTCCCAGACAGCATCACATAGTGGAGTTCGATCATTTTCCAGACAGAAGGAGCAATACTAGCTCACCTAGGGTTTAAATTTATGGCCTTAATCATCAAAACCTCTCTTAGTTATCATAGGATTGAATCAATCTATTTGCGAGAAAACCCTCTGAATGTGTTCTCTGTCTACTCAAGTGCTCCTGTGGCAGCACAGATGTCTTCTCTGGGTACAGATATGAGTGAGATGAGTCCCATGGCAAGGGATTGCCCATGGTCACACAAGAGCTCTGTGGTGAGGTGTAGTTGGTCTTGACAACAACCCAGCCAGTATTTGGTCTCTGCTTATCTTTCCTATTCCAAGCATCAGAACAACACTCAGAATTGCATCACGCCTCCACTCCTGCCAGGAATTTTGCTAAAAATCCTCCAGGAATAAAGGAATGCTCTATTTGCTGGAAAGCTCAAAGGCCATTTTGTGTTCCATGGAGAGACAGAATGTCCAAGTCTTGTGTACTTTTATATGCTCTGGAGACATACACATATTTTTGCAGGAAATTCACCTGAAAAAGGGTAGTTTCAAACACATGGCTGTGGAAATCTAAGATGACAGTGAGAATTAAGAAACTGGGAAAAAAAAATACAGAAGAAAAGGAAGAGCAGACATCTCCAGTAGCAATGAAGGAGTAGAGTCTTATGTCCTGTGGTGTGTTATTTAGTTAATGTCATTGTTCATTAATCATAGACTATAAATGAGACTGTAATTTTGTTATAGTAGCATAACTGGCTAATATTTGAACATAGATCAGTAATTCTGAAGTAATTGCTACTTCTGTTACTTTTCTTGTTTTGTGTTCATAGTGCACTAACTGTCCGCTACAGGAGAAACTACAATTTTTTCTTTTTTTTCTAGTGAAAATATTTATCTTACCCACAGTCCTCTCCTGGAGATGCACAAACACACTGTGATCCAACCTGTTTTTGTCCTGGTCTGCAAACATTTCTAATCATAGTTTGCTCATCTAAAACAAAAAGTAAGAGTTATAATGAGTAAAGAAATGACCATAATTATCTCAGTAAATAAAACCTAAAAATCATTAATTTCAGTTTGTCCCAACTTCCTGTCTTCAAAAGCCCTCGTGGCTGTGATTCCACAAGGATGTGCTACTCTCTGCAAGACACTGGAAAAGCCTGTACAAGATGAAGCTTCAACCATATTCATCCTCCTACTTTGCTTTCATAAAGCCTTGTTAATAAAACTGCATTAAAAAAATATTCACAACTTTGTAGTTAGCATATTGTACAGTACAACAGGTCCCAGAAACATGAACTTAATGCAGAAGTTTTTGGCTGACTTTATGTGGTGCTGTGATAGCCATATATTAAAACTAAAATTAATGATCAATTCATCCGTCTTAAAATCAGTCACCTGCCTCCCAGTTCTACCTAGCTAAAGCAAACACAACACAACTACATTGTGGATCCCAGAAATGGAGCAAAAAAAGCAGGAATTAGTTGTTAGGAATACTAACCTTTTTCACAGGTAATAGATCTTGAAATAGATGGTGACCAGGACAGATCTTCTCCACAAGTATACTCTGTTTGACCAGTGACTATATACCCAGCTTGGCAGCTTAACTTAATAGTTTCACCAATATTGTACTGTTGTTTAAATGGTGAAATCAGGATGCTGTAAGAGACGAGTGGTCTTAGGCATACTGAAGCTGCAATAAATAAGAAAAAAAGTGTTTTCGTGGTGCAAGAATATTTACAGCAAGTTGTAATGCTTCAGTTGAAGAGCCAAATAGTCACAATAATACTGAACACTTCTGACTGATATTTAAAACTAATAAATGTTTAGCATAATTAAGTCTAGAAATTTTCAATGCACTGTCATGTCAATGACAGCATTCTGTCAATAACTAAATAATTACTTATTTCTAATGTATGCTACTATGAGTAATTTAATTTTAAAGTATGTTAAAATAAGACTGGCAATCATAGCATATTTTAAAGTTGTTTTGTAAATGAAGTAATAAACAAGGCAATTAAAGTGAATGGCAATAGAAAGCTCAAATATGTTCGAGAAATTTGTGATAAAATTAATATTAACATGGAGTTCTAGCAAACTATTGGGGTGTCTCGTATGTGGAAGTCCAGGTCAGTTCTGATCCTTAATTTTGATTGGACTAAAAATACATCAGGGTATTAAGTCATTGTGTAAAGTTTCAAAGCAATCTCAATGGTTAGAGATATGTCTTCTCCTTAATATAACAAAGTGGAATGCTTTCTTCAGGATAACTGTCAGGCACTTAAAGATCACCTTGATAAATTTGGAAACAGAATATAAGTCCTTCTTTTGAAGATAGAGAACAAAACTGGAGAAGGACCATATTAAATCCATCTCACTTTTCTACAGCAGTGAACATTACAATATCCTTACAGTATGTGTAATCGTTTCACTCGTGAAAGAGGAAACTGAACCAAAAGAAAATCTTAGGCCTATATCTT